TATCATGAGGGCTTTAATGCTATTAGGAGAGAAAGATAAATTTTTTTGTTGCTATAATTTTCAACTTTACTATGTTAGAAATGGTGGCTTGCTTCTGTTTTTGTTTGAACTTGGCCAGCAAAAATAATTGTTCATGTTGGCAGAAGTAGAACATTTGCCAGCATGAAAAAGCACTATTTAGAATAATATTTAGCGTACCATAACATATATTTTCTTAGTTTAAAACACAGGTGACAACAACAGTTACATTTGTAAAATGTACACAAATGCCCTGGAATCAAGGAACTAATGACAAGAAGAGAAAGTCAAATTCAGAAATAAAAATGATATGGGTCATGTGTCATGGGATATGACATACTAGCTCAGTTTCACAGAGGAACACAGGTTTGGTAGTCTAGAGAGTACAAAGTTTTCTGTGCCTCATGTAGTGTATAGCACAACACCTTACGTGGTTAGATACTTATGAATGCTTCCATACATAGAGAAAAGCTGAATGTATTAGCTAATTATTTTGATAACATCAGTTTTTATAGAGCAAATTCTCCTCACATTGTTTCTAACCTTTGCTTGATATCTAGAGCTCTAAAAATTGATTTAACATTTTTTAGTATATTCTTTGCTTTATTAAAGACATGGTGATTCACAGAGGTTCTTGCCCCCCATTATAGAAGTCCTCTGTAGTCCTTTTATTTCTTCTTTTTTTTAAATTGAAAAAATTTAGATCACTTATTAATATCACTCATCACATGGATCCATATATTTTTAATGCTATGGACAGAAAGCTAATTTAGTAATCATCACTAGAAATATCTTCATATATGTATTGTTGGTATGAAAGATTTCCTATAAGTCAAATTGGTGACAAATGTAAAACATTGCCTTTTTTTTTTTTTTGGTCGTAGAATGTTAAATTTCACCATTGAAGAATCATTGTAAGAATTAGGGATATTTTCACATCAAATACATTATGCTCTGTGCATCTGAACAGATCAATAGGAGATAGCTACTTCATATAGGTCTCATATGAAGTTATCGGCCCATCGTAGGGGATAAATTTAACACACATACATTTTTTAAAGGAAACATAAAAATTAAGAGATAAGAAAAGAGTGTATGTTACAATTTTGTTTGCATGTTAGAAAAAAATCACTGACCATAGCCACTTAAAAATAAAACTTGTGTCTTGTCACTCTGCTTCTAATCTCTGTTGATACCACTTTATGAGCCCATGTTGTGTGTCTGTATTGGACCCTACCACTGAAGGTTAAAGTATGTCACTGCAATCAGCCGTAGAAATATCTTTAGCATTTGCTTCTTAAATATGACGTTCCTTTTGACTACTCTCACCAAATCTAGCATTTAGGATAATTCTGACACACAGTTCTCTTCTGCAATACATGATTTGGGCATGATAATGTTATGATGTGTGAAATCTAACCTCAATCTTTATTTTGCATGTTTTTAATGCTGCTTTTTCTATTTCCAAACTAAATAAACCTTCTGTTTCCATATCCTCTCCAAATCTGTAACTTCTTTTTATTTAGCTGTTTCTCTCATCAGTGTATAAATGAATCTGACACACTCTCAGCACAACCTTAGCTAATAAGTTATATTTTGTTAATTTTACTTTACAACACATGGTTAAAATGATCATAAAACTTCAGGAGGTTGAGGGTTTGGAGCCCAATTTGGAAACTCACTTTTGACATAGATCTTTATCCAGTTGATCTCCTATTTGCAAAAACTCACCATGACCTGGTCCATATTCACTACCTTCCTCTTTAGGGAAGATCTGGGTGTAAAATTTTGTTAAGTGACTGAAATACATCAAGAATTCCTCTGAGACTTTAGAAGGGTACATGGACATATACAATGTTTTCACATTTAAGATTAAAATCACAGGGCGCATGGGTGCCTCAGTGGGTTAAGGCTCTGCCTTCAGCTCAGGTCATGATCTCAGGGTCCTGGGATCGAGCCCCACATCGGGCTCTCTGCTCAGTGGGGAGTCTGCTTCCTCCTCTCTCTCTCTGCCTGCCTCCCTGACTACTTGTGATCTCTGTCAAATAAATAAATAAAATCTTTAAAAAAAAAAAAAGATTAAAATCACAAAATTTAAAGAGAACCTTAAAGATAGTACACACCAATTTCCCAGTCAAAATAGTAAATTATAGGGATGCCTGGGTAGCTCAGTGAGTTAAGCCTCTGTCTTTGGCTCAGGTCATGATCTCAGGGTCCTGCATTGAGCTCTCTGCTCAGCTGAAGCCTGCTTCCCCCACTCTCTCTGCCTGCCTCTCTGCCTACTTGTGATCTCCCTGTCAAATAAATATATAATTTTTTTTTAAATAGTAAATTATACCTAAGTTGAACAACAATGACCACACTTCTGCTTTCTGTTGCAACACATTCTATTTGATGTTTTCTATGTTTTCAATAAACGTACTTGTTTTAAGATTGTTTCTATAAAGCTGTATATTTCCATGAAGTTATATATTTTCTTTTTTTTTTAATTTTAAGATTTATTTATTTCTTTGGTGGGGAGGGGCAGAGAGAGAGGGAGAATCTCAAGCAGACTCCCCACTGAGTGTGGAGCCAGATGCTGGTCTCAATCTCATGTCCCTGAGATCATGACTTGAGCTGAAATCAAGAGTCAGAAGCTCAGTAGACTGAGTCACCCAGGTGTCCCAAAGCTATAAATTTTCAATACAGCTCTTTGTGCATTTCTTTTCTACAGATTACATCTTCTCACATCACCTCAATTAATTTTTTAAAAAATATATTCCTGTTCACCCAGCCATTTTGACATTATCTTCTTGACAAAATTTCACTTATCTCTATCTTCTGGAGGCTTATTATGAGTTAACAAAGTACCTTTTACTTTAGCAGTGTGAAATTAAATGAATTATTGCTTCACTTATTTCAGCACCTAGCCTTTACTTAATTATTGTTTACAAATGTATACTTGCCATTTTTTTTATTTTTAAATTTTTTTTTTAATTTTATTTTTTATAAACATATAATATATTTTTATCCCCAGGGGTACAGGTCTGTGAATCGCCAGGTTTACACACTTCACAGCACTCACCATAGCACATACCCTCCCCAATGTCCATAATCCCACCCGCCCTCTCCCAACCCCTCTCCCCCCATCAACCCTCAGTTTGTTTTGTGAGATTAACTTATGGTTAACTGTGAGAGTCACTTATGGTTTGTCTCCCTCCCAATCCATTTTTAATGGATTAATGGAAATTATATTGTCCATGTTAAATTATACTTAACAAAATAAATCCAAAATTATTCTTATACATAACATAAAACTGTACAATTTTTTTTGCCCAAATGCAGGATTTCAATAACAATAACTTTTCTTCTTTTGGTTGTTTATTTGGACCTATATGATTCTTGAATACTTATTCTTCATTATTTCCAACTTGTCTGCTCACTCAATATAATAATTGGAAGTCTCAGTGGCTTCACAGGTTAAATTTATTTTGAGTTAATGAAAATAAACCATTCTTGGAACATTTTTCACATAAATGTGTTGTACACTATACAAAAAATTATGATAATTAAAAAATAGTTTTACTAGTTTATGGGTTAAAGAAATAATCAGAATTTACATAAGAAACCCGTATTTAAGTAATTAAAAAGCAGACAAGATAATTAAGTGATTATAGCCCCCAAAATATAAAGTATTTGTAGATTCTGTAAATAAGAAAAAGTAAGTGTAAAAAAGCTGCATTAGAGAGCAGAGAACATGACCTAAAATAGGATGTATCTAAAAATCAAATCTCAGGATAACTGGATTTTCTCTCCCAAACATTCTTTCAATTGTTAAATTTTACTCGAAAATAAAACATCTATTGGAAGGGATATATTATTGCCATTTACTTATGAAATATCTTGGTCTTAGTATATGATCCCACCAAATACTGGGGATGGGGAATGCAGAATGAATCTAGCCAGTGAGCAGCCAGCTGGTGCAGAAGATTGTAGGCAAGCTACTCAGAGGATGGACAAATGATCTCACAGAACAAACTGTCATTCTGCTGCCAGGTGTCCAAGCCAGGCAACCACTCAGGACCTGTGAGTGAGAGTAAAGCTCACAGGTGCATAGACAACACCCATGACATCACAAACACCTGTCTGGGCAATTGAGAGATATCTATAAGAGGAAATCCATAACTTATTATAAAGAATATATGTCAGATTCATCCACTGAACATTGACCTCCCTCCTATGGAGCTATGCACTGATTAAACTCAGCAGCAGTTGAATGCATGTGTATGTAACTTGGTCCTATGGGTCAGCCCAAGAGAATGGAAGGGAAAGAAAGGTTAAACATTTTGAAGACCAGACAAGGGAATATGAGAGTTGTAACTGGTGCATTCTAATGAGATGATACCTCTCCTGATATCACATTTTGTACAAGCTCACATTTCTTAATTAATGAATATATATGTATATGCAGAGAATGGTGTGGGGGAAGAAAGATGGTGAGTTGATAGCTGCAATGAAAACTGTAGTCCTGAAATTTGATTTAAGCCTCTCCCCCATAAGATAATTCAATAAATTAAAATGTAAATCTATTTTAAATTCAAATTGTTTTAAACATAAGTGATACATAAAAATCTCTTACAAACCACAAATGGTGAAATAAAGATGCAGAAGAAAAATAAGTGAACAATTAATAATACTCTATATATAGTTAGTTTCGTGTGATATTAGGACTTTTGATTCTAAATACTGTGTCTCTTTCATTCTCTAACCAAGATTTCATTAGAAATAAGCCCTATTTGAGAAAACCCAGCAAAAATAGACAATAATTACATGAAATCCCTGAGTCCATATATAAGATTGGTGAATCATTTGTACATAAAAGGGTCCCTGCACTCAAGTATTAACAGAAAGCAATTACTTAGAAATATCCTAATGAAAACTGTAGGATTCAATCAATCTATAAAATTCATTTAATACCTAGTTCAGAAAATTTACCAAGCATATCAGAGAAAGGAAGGGAACCTTGTCCTGGTAGTTACATTCCATAAAGCTTTCTTTACTTCCTTATTCCTGAGGCTGTAGATCAGAGGATTCAACATGGGGATCACCACTGTGTAGAACACAGAAGCCACTTTGTCCTGATCCAGGGAGTAGCTGGAACTAGGTCTCAGATAGGTATAGATGGCAGTGGCATAGAACAGAGTTATAGCTGTCAGGTGGGACCCACAGGTTGAGAGGGCTTTGCGCCTCCCCTCCCCTGAATGCATATGGAAGATAGAAAAGAGAACGTAGGAGTAGGAGGTGAGGATGACCAGCAAAGCCCCAACCATATTCACACCAGCAAATGTGGAAAAGATGCTTTCGTTCAGGTGTGTGTCTGAACATGAGAGCCTAAAAAGTGGAGGGCTATCACAGAAGAAATGATGAATGACATTGGAACTGCAGAATGGCAAGCTGCTCACATAACTTGTGTTAACCATGGAGTTCAAGAATCCTGCTGTAAAAGCCCCTGCTGCCATTTTGAGGCAGACAGTCCTAGACATGACCAGGGAGTAAAGCAGAGGGTTGCATATGGCCACATAACGGTCATAGGCCATTAACCCGAAAAGGATGCACTCAGTTGTGGCCAAGGCAATGAAAAAGTACAGTTGCAGAAAGCAGCCAGCAAAGGAGATGGTTTTCTCCTCTGATAATAGGTCCACCAGCATCTTAGGGGTGATGGTGGAGGAGTAACTAACATCCACAAAGGACAGGTTAGCCAGGAAGAAATACATGGGTGTGTGAAGTCGGGAATCAATCCTTATTAAGAGGATCATCCCAACATTCCCCAGAACTGTAAGTGTGTAAATCACCAGAAAAAGCAAGAAGAGGACAATCTGTAGTTCCATCGTGTCTGCTAATCCCAACAGGATGAACTCGGTCGGTGAAAAGTAGTTTCTTCTGGTCATTTGTTGCACATATAGTTTGCTTAAACTTGCATTAGGTGTAAATATTTTCCTCTCCTAAGTTTTTAAGAAATAGAAATGTTAATGAGGTCATTCACCCATGGGGGAAAAGCACAACCCAGGATAATACAACACAGCAAATTGAGTGATGGAGGAAGAGGAAATTGGGTGACAAATAGACCAGTCTTTGAATTTAATGAACAAGTGTCTGAATTGAATCAAGATTGGGGGATCTCTCAACTCACTAGTGCAGGACCACACACTCCCATTCAGTTTCACAAAAGCTACTTACATGATACTATTGTCTCGGTACAATCTATGTCCAAATGAAAGGATAAAAATATCCTTGCTGACATCTCTCTCATTCACTGAGCAGGTATGTGAGTTTAGCTCTATTGTTTTTCCTTTCCATATATCCTCAAAATCACTCTGAGTATTCTTCAACTCTAAAATTCATGCATTCCTTTCCAGAAATCACTCTTGAGTACTTTAAGCAGCCGCCATACTAACCAATTCTAATAATCAGTATTTTGACTCCTATCATATATTTAAAAAATGATTTTCTTTTGTTTTAAAAGTCATCCAAAAATCTGTTCTGATTACAAAGTTCACTTCTAAATAACATCCTTAGCAGGAGACATGCAACCTGTCCAACTCAGTGAGTAACAGCACAAAATCCTGATCACTTTCTTCCCAGTGTCTTACCTGGGGAGTCTAGGATTTTCTTTTTTCATGAGATGTTCTCCAATCAAATGGAGTTTACAGAAAAAGGAAGAAAATTTCATTTTTAAAAGTAAATGAAATACAGTAGGCATTCAATTTACTTTTTTGTAAACATTTGAAATGGCTTCTGAGTAAATACACATTGCCACACTTTTATTTTGTTTTCATAAGGAGGAATGAATAACCATGGGACTAGATTATAGGTAATTGTGAGTCAGACCTCTAGAGACAGACACTCCAGTCTCAAAAGTACACAGTATATGATCACAGGTAGATATATGGAATCAAACATTATATGGGGCTTGCATCACAAAGTAATTCCTGATCTTTATGTTACTTTAAAAGTCTTACAGAAGTAAAAAAAAAATTAAGTAATAATACTTTTAATTGGTTGCTGATACTGCTTCTCCCTTTATATTTTTAGCTTATCCCAAATGGATACAAAATCCAGTACCAGGGGCACCTGGGTGGCTCAGTGGGTTAAGCCTCTGCCTTCAGCTCGGGTCATGATCCCAGGGTCCTGGGATCAAGCCCTGAATCAGCCTTTCTGCTCAGCAGGGAGCCTGCTTCCCTTCCTCTCTCTCTGCCTGCCTCTCTGCCTACTTGTGATCTCTCTCTGTCAAATAAATAAATAAAAATCATTATTTAAAAAAAAAAAGAAGAAAATTCAGTACCAAATTATTTTTCTTTCTTTGTTATTTTAGTAATTGAAAAAAAAAACATTCTTTCTGTTTCCTTTTGTGTGAAATTGTGTTTTTGAGTGTTTGTGTGTGTGTGTGTGTGTGTGTGTGTCCATGCACACACACACGTCTTTCTCTAAGTGTATCTCTCCATTCAACTCTCTCTTGAGTGAAATTAATGAGAAGGAGAAACTAACTTAATTGCACAATATTTAAAGAAATACTAAACCCTGGGCAAATAATACAATGGATATGAAAATGAACTCATGTTTTTATGATTTCAGAATTGTGTTAGATTTTGAAAATATTGCCTATGATTCTGTACCTATAAGGGGATGAAATGACAGATTTTCCAGATCTAAATACAACGAAAGCTAGGTGAAATAAACCTCATATGGGGGTTCATATGCATGGAGAGCCTATTTGCATTGAGAACTCAAAACATATAGCTCTTTTCCATTTAAATCTTCAGTTAATTCTCCCTGCCAGTCTTTGAGGTTGACATTATTATTTTATGCATTTTGCAGCTGATATTTCAGATAATTAAATGACTTTTCAATAGACAAACTGTTAGAAAGTGGGAGAATCAACTGGAACACAATCTTAGCAGAAGGAAATAATACCCAGATACCTAATTTCCTTGTCCCGTCCCCTTTTATCCTAGTCACTTATATACATATACATGTATAATGTGTGTGTGTGTGTGCACATCTTCTATTAAATACCTATTTGTTGTTTACAATTGTAGACTTCTCATTTTCAACAGAGCAATAAAAATTACATTGTGCATGTTAGTTTACATTTAACAAACTAAATCAAAATAAATTATGGGAGTGTTCAGATTAAACTCTCTGTACACATTTTTTCCACCTAAATTCAGGACTTCATCTTCTAATAACATCATCTCTTTCTCTTATACTGTGTTTTTGGATGTGTGTGATTGTTGATATTGATTTCTTCATTTCTTCCAAATTGCTTGCTTATTTTTTCAACTTTGTGATGCTAACAGGTTTTGTAAGCTAGCCTCTCTTGGCCTCACCTAATCACTGATGAAAATACTGGCCAAAACAAAGCCTAAATGCATACAATTTCGACATCTTTCATTAATTTTAGTAAATAAATTACTCAAAAATCATTAAACAAGACAATATTTTGGTTGATACCTATATATTTGGATAATGAATTTGAATTAAAATTCAACCAAAAAAAAAAAAAGAATGAGGAAGACAGGAAAAGAGAAAAGCAATGACATAGTGTATCAAAGAGGCAAAAACACTATTACATTCATGAGAAGAGTTTAGTAAATATTGCCAAGGACTTAAGACAAAAGAGAATGATAAATCACCACTCTATATAATAATGAGAAGACTCAATGTTTTTGTAGTTTAAATTTATCTTGAGTTACATAAATATATATAATAATTGTACATTTTTTACATAAATGCAATAAACAATAAAAGAGAAATTAGGATAATTTAAAATGTTTTCATAAGTAGTTTTGATTAAAGAAATAATCAAAATGTACATAAGAAACATGTGTTCATCTTTGTCGTGTTCCTGATCTCAAAGGGAAGGCTGTCAGCTTTTCCCCATTGAGGATGATATTCACTGTGGGTTTCTAATAGATAGATTTTATAACATTGAGGAATGTGCCCTCTATCCCTATACTTTGAAGGGTTTTTATTCAGGAATGGATGCTGTGTGGCAGGACACAAAATCAATGTATAGAAATCAGTTGCTATCTTATATCCTAACAATGAAAATATAGAAAGGGAAATTATAGAATCGATTCCATTTACTATAGAACCAAGAACCATAAGATATCTAGGAATAAACCTAACCAAAGAGATAAAAGACCTGTACTCGAGGAACTATAGAAAACATTCATGAAAGAAAGTGAAGAAGACACAAAAAAATGGAAGAGCATTTCATGCTCATGGATCAGAAGAATAAACATTGTTAAAATGTCTATACTGCCTAGAGCAATCTATACTTTCAATGACATCCAGATCAAAATTCCACCAGCATTTTTCAAAGAGCTGGAACAAATAATCCTAAAATTTGTATGGAACCATAGAGACCCTGAATTGTTAAGGAAATGTTGAAAAAGAAAAACAAAACTCAGGACATCATGTTGTCTGATTTCAAGCTTTACTACAAAGCTGTGATCATCAAGACAGCATGGTACTGGCACAAAAACAGATGCATAGACCATTGGAAGAGAGTGGAGAGCTGAGATATGGACCCTCAACTCTACGGTCAAATAATCTTCGACAAAGCAGGAAAAAATATTGAAATTTTTTTTCAATATTTTGAATATTGAATTTGAATATTTGAAAATTTTCAATATTCTTTTCAATAAATGGTGCTGGGAAAATTGTACAGCTATATATAAAAGTATAAAACTCGACCATTCTCTTACATCATATACAAAGATAAACTAGAAATGGATTAAAGACATGAACATGAGGCAGGAATCTATCAAAATCCTAGAGGAGAACATAGGCAGTAACCTCTTCAACATTGGCCACAGCAACTTCTTTCAAGACATGTCCCCAAAGGCAAAGGAAACAAAAGCAAAAATGAACTTTTGGACTTCATCAAGATCAAAAGTTTCTCCACAGCAAAGGAAATAGTGAACAAAACAAAGAGGCACCCCACAGAATGGGAGAAGATATTTGCAAATGACACTACAGACAAAAGACTGATATCTAAGATCTATAAAGAACTCCTCAAACTCAACACACACAAAACAGATAATCACATCAAAAAATGGGCAGAAGACATGAACAGACACTTCTCCAATGAAGACATACAAATGGCTAACAGTCACATGAAAAAATGTTCATTGTCATTAGACATCAAGGAGATTAAAATCAAAACCACATTGAGATACCACCTTATTATCAGTTAGAATGGCCAAAATCAACAAGACAGTAAACAATAAGTGTTGGAGAGGATGTGGAGAAAGGGGAACCCTCTTACACTGTTGGTAGGAATGCAATTTAGTGCAGCCACTTTGGAAAACAGTGTGGAGATTCCTTAAAAAATTAAAAATAGAGCTACCCTATGACCCTGCAATTGCACTACTGGGTATTTACCCCAAAGATACAGATATAGTGAACACTGAACCCCAATGTTCATAGCAGCAATGGTCACAGTTTCCAAACTGTGGGAAGAGCCAAAATGTCCTTCAACAGTGATATGGTCCATATATACAATGGAGTATTATACCTCCATCAGAAAGGGTGAATACCTAACTTTTGTATCAACATGGACAGGACTGGAAGAGATTATGTTGAGTGAAAAGTCAAGAAGAGAGAGTCAATTAACATATGGTTTTACTTACTTGTTGACCATAAGGAATAACATGGAAAACATTGGGAGATGGAGAGGATAAGTGAGTTGGGGGAAATCGGAGGGGGAGACAAACCATAAGACACTGTGGACTCTGAGAAACAAACTGAGGGTTTTGGAGGGGAGGGGCCGGGGGTTAAGATGAGCCTGGTGGTAGGCATTAAGGAGGCACATATTGCATGGAGCACTGGGTGTGGTGCATAAACAATGAATTTTGGAACACTGAAAAAAAAATAAAATTCA